AACTGGAGTAAGGACAGGCACAGACCACGGACTTAAAGCACACACTCCCAATTTTTCTCCACCTGATGCACACTTGACAGCAACTCGAGAATATCTTAACATTTCTACTTTTACTTAAGGAAAACATAATGTTCTTCTGCTTGATCAATTATGTAAGTCAGCAATGGGGAACCTATATTTAGCTTAAAGTTAGAGAGCTAGCAATCTGAAATGCTAAATACCACTTCCATTTAAATTACAAGATTGTCAAGTCAATCCAAAGATGAATTTTTAAGTTGTCTCTCATTATTTTAATATTACTGAATGTCGTTTTATATGATAGGGCTGAAAAACATTTTTAAGTGTCAGCAGTACAGGCAATGTGCCAAATTCTATATTCCAGGGAGTAACATGCAAAAATACCAACTTCTTATTAGTGGCTGGATAGGAGGTATTTTTTTCCCCAAGACTCAAGCTCCTAGCTTCTGGGTGGGAATGTGTATTGCTCATCCAATTTTAAGATCAAATTCAATCAGGACGCAGCATAAAGTTACAAGGCCTGTGTGATACACAGCTCCTGAGGTACCCATCACTAAGATCATAATGCCTGGGTGCTCCTTGGAGCTTTTAAGCCCGGTGGCCTGTTTCTCACGAGATCCCTGGTTACTTTATCTTGGGAATCCCTTGCCCACATATAACCCTCTCTTATTGCTTCTCCCTTTGAAATTTCATTCTCTCATTTATTGGTCTCTAGGTAATATACAGAAAATGGCTACTGGCCAGGTACGGTGGCTCATGCCTCTTATCCCAGCACTTTGGGAGGCCAAGGTGAGAAGACTGCCTGAGCCCAGGGGTTCGAGACCAGCCTGGGCAACTTGGTGAGACCTCTTCTCTACAATAAATCAAAAAATTAGCTGGGTGTGGTAGCGCATGCCTGTAGTTCCAGCTACTTGGAAGGCTGAGGTGGAAGGATCGCCTGAGCCCAACAGGTCAAGGCTGCGATGGCTGTAAGCGTGCCACTGCACTCCAGCCTGGGCAATGGAGTGAGACTCCAACTCAAAAAAAAAGAAAAAAAAAGGCTATAATTGTTTTCAAGAAATGTGATGGTTAGCCTAGGGAAGAGATGTGCAAAATGTGCACCTTAGAACTCTTGAAATACAGGATGATTACTTCTCTCCATGAACACTAGAGCTGTAGCAAGCTGACCTAACTTAACTCTCAAGGCAACCAGACAGGCACCCTGGCCTAGGTCCTGGCTCCACCTCTGTCTTTGAGGAATCATATAACTCTCCTGGGCCTCAATTTTGCCATTTGTAATCTGAAGGGATTGAGTTCTAATAACCTCCAGGTTTAACATTAAATAATTCACAGAAATAAGGAGTCTTAAATCTTTCTTGAACGCTACATTAAACTATCCATATGGCTGAATTTGAACTTTGAAATTTCTCATAGATATAACAGTTGCATTTTCCGCAGTGGGGACATGAATGTCACCAGTACCACACTAAAGCTGCTTTAGTCAGATCCCTGTGTGTGCTCACCTTCCATTTTGCCATCGAAGGGTGTTTATAGCACAATATAGCCATCGTTTATTCACAATATATATTTTTCTCTAGCTAGCTGTACTGAAATCAAGCCGATAAATTCAGAATGTCACACCCACACACACAAGCGTTCAAAAGCGTCCTTTTATCTCAAAATTCAAAACATCCTTAAATAAAGTTAAATGACATGGAACATCTTAAAGGAGAATTAAGTTTTCAACCTAATCATAAGAACTTCCTGAGGAAGTGCAGAACCAATACAAGAATGAATTATCTAACTAGGTGTCAGGCCCAACTCCATGCAAAGGCCACAGAGACTGCATCGTACTTTCTCACTTTTCTCTTGAATCACCTTTCAGGCCATACAGAGTCAGTGGAGGGTGGATGCCCCATGGATGGTTTTCCTTCAGTTTTCACCTAGCTCCCATTTCCCCTCCCTTCTCCCTAGGGCTCAGCTCTGTTCTGCAGGCACCCACGTGGCCAAGGCCCCAGGGACTTCTGCCCTGATTGGACAGAGACAAGTGGCTTTTGTAGCTTTCCCAGGGGTGTGGGTTTAGGTGTTTCTAATTCTTTGAAGTGGGGCACTTAAAATACAGCACCACTCTTTTCTTGACATATCGGGTGGCGTGCCAAAGCAGAACGGCTAGACCTGTTCTACCCTCAGGTGGGGAGGGCCTGGTGTGTTCCAGGAATGGGAAGGAGATATCTCAGTGAGCAGAGGTGAGGGGACCAGGCTGTGCAGGGCCATCGTAAGGCCACCATGTGGACACTGGCTTTTTGCTCTGCGTGAAACGAGGGGCCGGTGCAGGGTTTTGAGCAGAGAAGGGACATGCTCGGGCAGTGTTTTGATGGATCCTTCAGTCTGCTGTGTTGAGAAGAGATCGCAGAGAGAGAAAGCTAGAAGTAGGGCGTCCAGGCCGGAGACTGATAAGTGATGACGGTGGATTGAACTAAGATGGAGAGCCAGTGGAAATGATGAGAAAGATCTAGACTTATTCTGAACGTTGAAATGAACCAACCGTGTTTCCTGATGGATTGGATTTGGAGAATGAAAGAAAGAAAACGACCAAAGAGGAGACTAGTCTCCTATTTCCGGCATTCTGTATTGTTCTATTTCCTCATTAAAACCCGTGAGAAACTTTTGCATAGGAAAAAAGTTTTTCTTGACATTTTTCAGAATGGTGATGTCGGTAGAAAGAGTCCTGGATTGGTCCTAATTCGAATTCCCAGGCCACAGTGCAAGAATGTTTCATTTGTATAGGATGACAGTGTATTGTCATCACTAACAAAATATTTAGACTCCATTTCAGTCACCTTTTCAAAGATCTGGTTGTATAGCCCAATTACTACTTTGTGAAAACTTTGTCAGCATACTAAAAATGTAACTGGGATAGGAATTCCAGATTTTTCTTTTCTTGTTTGTAAATAATGCCCCTTATTTTTAAGGCTAAAACTACTACGTTGAAATCTTGCTTTTAAAGACTCTTTTCAAGTCTAGTTAATCCAAGCGTTCAGGAAACTGCTTTGGGAACCTATTTCGGAGCATGTTTCTTTTGAAAATTCTCAGCACTTGCCATTTCAAGATCACACCTCCCTAAAATCTTGTCGTGCTGATTGATGTTTTTATTTCTGGTGTTTAGCATGTAGTACTATTTTAACTGCCTTATCATTAATGCCAAGTTAGATAATAATATTTTATGTCATGTATAAATGACTTGAAATTCCATGGCTTCACATGGTCAAAAATATTTTTTTCCAGAATTAGAAGCGAAAATCATGTGGCAAAATGTAAAAATAAAATTATAATTTGGATAAGCGGATATTTTTGGACCCTCACAGAGAAAATAAATGAAGCAAATGTCCTAAAAGCTGTTCATTTCTTCCATCTTCTCGCTCTGTTGCTTCACCCAGTGCCATCTGGGTCCACCTGCTTTCCCCATTCAGCCCAGACAACCCTCTCCAGAGACACAAATGGCCTCCTAGGTTCTTGGAAGGTCAAGATTCTTCCTTGACCCTTCATCCCCTTGGTCTTTCCATATTTGGTAGGAAATGTCTGCTAAGTAAATGGATATTTGTTTTCGTGATCTAGATGATGCATAGTTTTTATCCTTCCTTAAAAACAAGCATTACGTGAATAAATAACGTATGACACTGATAATATTATAGACTCATTCTATTCTGTTAACAAAGAGAGAATAATATGACTAAAGTGATTTCAGTCCTGGGGAGGACCCAGGGGCATGTTTAAAAACACTCGCTAGCATCTGATATTGTATTTAGGACGGATGACTTGTGGGAGATGGACACGGTAGAGGGAATAAAGGGTAGTTCCTTCACAACTGGTTTCATGTAGTGCAAAGTCTCCTCAAAGCTATTAAATACATATGAGGGGTCTAGGCTTCAGGGGGCTTTGGAGGAACTTGCCTGGGAGTAGTGTGACCCAGAAGAAGGCAGCATATGCATTTGAAGATGAAGTTTTTAATCTGTATAAAAATTTTGCTGATTTCTTTTTACCCCTCGAGTTATGTAGCTTTTATTTTTCACGTCACTAACTGGCTCAGAAATTTGTCAGCCCTGTGGGTGGCACTGCTGTCCTTCCGGTCATCGTGCTCAGATCCCCAGAACAGTCTTTTGTCTTGCCCTTGTCACTCACGATCTCCTGTGAGCCCCTCCATTCTCTGTAATCCACCATGCTGCGCTCTGTTCCTGTCACCACTTCTTCCAGTTCAGAGTCACAAGGAACATCTGCCTTGAGGCCATCCACTCATTCATCTGGTTTATATTGCGTTTCTCCTGTATCCCTCTGCCAGAGACCGGGGACACAAGGATGGATGGCTTTCTTGTCCGCAAGTAGTCACTGTCTTGTGGCAACACAGGCTCATAAACAAGTAATCACAGGACTATATTCAGAAAACTGCTGTGAAGAAAAGGTCAAGATTTAACTTTAGATCATAGACCCGTATTGTTTCCAGCTATGAATAGTAGATAAATAAGGTAAATAACTCGTCGTATTTTTCTTCTTTCTGGTTAGCTTTTCCCACCTTAACAGTCTAAGCTTAGACTTCCCTTTGAAATGTGTATCTTCTCATTTCTGTGTTACTTGAGTGACTAGAGCTTTCATTGATGACTGTCTCTCCATAGAATTAATCCACTTAAGGACAACTCTCTACTCTCTGAGCGGTTCCATTATTGGAGAAAGATCTTCACTTTCAGATCTGTATTTGTATATGTACATGAACACACGTTTTGTGTATGTATGTTCTTACTAAAATCAGATGTAATGGTCTGAGTTTCCCGCTGATGAGCAGCTGTCGGCCCGTTATCCACAGACAAGGAATGGAAACAGTCGCTTTTGTGGATCTCTTCTTACTCAATCTGTTCAGGAAAGGACATTTTCAAAGTAAGGGGAGAGGAGGAAGATGAATGCTTTATGGGAGATCAAGATATAGAAACCATGCTGTTCTGTTCTACTTCTAGCTACAAGAAAACACACGAAACCCTGAGCCATGCAGGGCAGAAGGCAACTGCAGCTTTCAGCAACGTTGGGACGGCCATCAGCAAGAAGTTTGGAGACATGAGGTAGGTAGTGTGGGAAGGAACCATGGGAGAGTGCTGAGCCCTTGACTTTCTGACTGAAGGAGCGTTATCCATTGGCTGGTTGTCTCAGCATGTATGTTTTTCAAATTTTAGCGGATAAAAATGTCATATGGCTGATATTGACTGGTGACTAAGATACATGTTTACATTGTGATGTTTTCAGTCTGAAGATCAGCTTAGGAGGTCTGGTCCCAAAGATGCTCGTTCCCCTAGAATCTAATCTAGTAAAAATAGAAGATAAAGGGCAATGAGGGAGATTTCAAAAGAATGCAGCACATACGGAATCTCACTAGCTGTCATTTAAATGGTCAGTTAAAAGATGTATTCCCAGCCGGGCTCGGTGGCTCAGCCTGTCATCCCAGCGCTTTGGGAGGCCGAGGTGAGTGGATGGCCTGAGCCTGCGGGTTCGAGACCCTCCTGGGCAACGTGGCGAGACCTCATCTCTACAATAAATCAAAAAAATCAGCCGGGCGTAGTAGCGTGCACCTGTAGTTCCAGCTACTTGGAAGGCTGAGGCGGAAGGATCGCCGGAGCCCAGCAGGTTGAGGCTGCGATGGCTGGGAGCAGCCACTGTACTCCAGTCTGGGTGACGGAGTGAGACTCCAACTCAAAAAAAAAAAAAAAAAAGATGTATTCCCTGAAATGTGCTCTGCTAAACCATTCTAGGTTGCATAATCCATTTAGTATATTTTTTCTGTGTTAAATACATACACATTTACTATTTTACTCCCAAAGGTACCATAAGGTATATACTTCTTGTAGTTTTTTTTTTCTTTTTTCTTTCTTTTGAATTGGGATCTCACTCTATTGCCCAGGATAAAATACAGTGGTACAGTCGTGCCCTACCACAGCCTTAATTTCCTGGACCCAGGCAATCTTTCCACTTTAGCCTCCTGAATAGCAGGGACTAGAGGCACATGCCACCACACCTAGCTACATTTTTAATTTTTTTTGCAGAGGTGAGGTCTTACTATGTTGCCCAGGCTGGTCTTGAACTCCTGGACTCAAGTGATTCTCCCACCTTGGCCTCCAAAAGTGCTGGGATTACAGGCATGAGCCACTGCAATCAGCCCTTCTGGTAGTTTTTTCTTCACTTCAGCAATATTTTATAAAGATGTTAATAAATATTTCTCATGCCTTCATTTTTAATGGCTGTATTATCTTCCATTGCATAGCTGTACACATTTTTAAACAAGCACCCTTGCACATTTTGGTTATTTTCAGTATTTCATTATTATGTAAGATAAGGGTGACCATCAAGGTTGATTTGGAACTGAAAACCAAAAGTCCACTGTAGGAACCAGAAAAAAAAGAAGTATGGCCTTTTTATTTTTCATATTAAGTGCAAGGAAGTTATCTTATCCAGAATTATTACTCTTATAGTTTTTACTTATATAAATACTTATAATAGTTTATTTTGAATTTGGCCGATATGCCTTGGGAGGTTTTTCTTTAGAAATCCGTTTTTTTTCTTCTAGAAACCAAGTGCATTCTTCAAAAATTTTTCAAGTACTTTTAAATTTCTTCTTTATAAAAACAAAAAAAAAGTCAGCTGGGCTCGGTGGCTTAGCCTGTAGTCCCTCATTTTGGGAGGCTGAGGCAAGAGGATTGCCTGAGCCACCGGTTCAAGACCAGCCTGGACAACTTGGCGAGACCTCGTCTCTACAATACATCAAAAAAAATCATTAGCCGGGTGTGGAAGCACGTGTCTATAGTTCCAGCTACTTGGAAGGCTGAGGTGGAAGGATCGCCAGAGCCCAGCAGGTCAACGCTGGGGTGACCGTGAGCGTGCCACTGCACTCCAGGCTGGGTGACAGAGTGAGACACCAACTCAACCCCCCCCAGAAAAACTGTGTATTTATTTCACTGAATTCTTAAACTATTACTTTTGTATTAAAAAGAAAAACTGATACCTAGAGGCAAATATTTATACCTTGGAATCTTTATATATCTGCTTGTGTATATACTTATGTCTTTACATTATTTTTTTGGCTTCAAAAATTGCTGGATTGCATCTAATATTAATGTACCATCTTAACAAGGCTGGAGTTAAGTAAGGACATGCACATGAATCTGAGTACATTGTTTTCTCTTCATTTTCACTAATACCACAATAACGAAAAGCAATTGAAATTCCTCAGAGACAGGTGTGATGAACAGGTAAACCTTCTGGACTATTAATAACCCCTACTTTTATTACAAATAAAATGTGCAGTTATTTCAATGTCATTATAACATTTATCTAAACTAATTAAATAATCCATTAAAACAGAAAAGACCCTATTATACCTGAGAAAATATATTTTGCCATGTTTATAAAATTTGCTCGCTACATACTTAGTCGAAATCTTTCACCTGAGTACTGAGAACTCAGCTTAATGCTGCCAACTAAAAGTATTTCTGCATCTTTTGGGGCCTTGCCATCACCTCTGAAGCTGTTTTAAAATACGTATTTCCCAGATTGCACATCTCCGAGATTGTGCCTCAGTGTGTCTGGGGTAGAATCGAAGAATCTGCAGTTGTTACAAGTTGCCAGGTGATTTGGCTTCAAGTGGTCTGCTTATGAGGAGGACAGATGTAACTTAGCTCCTCTGTACCTGGGTGTTCTCATTTATGATATAGAGATGAGAGTTACAAAGTTATTGCGTTATTACAAACATAGCAGAAGAGTACCTGTGATCATCTGTTACAAGGAGGCCCTACATGATGGAAACTGGCGATAATGCGTTAAGAGGAGCCCCCTGTATTTAATAAAGGCTTCACTCATTGTTCTTCCAAATAGTGAAGAACGAACACTGTTTGTCACATACACAGTATGTTGACATTCACGTTTATACACTAATTGGGTATGACATCCAGGCTGTGTTGACTGCCTTTTCTCCTGTCTCAGTGTGGCTTTTAGTATAATAAATAACCTATTTCCCAGGACTTCCAAACTGTTCCTTAATTATTGCTCCTATAGAAGATATGACACTTTCATTATAAACTGTGGCTAAAAATATTAGAAAACATAACCTTTGTTACTAGAGATACACATACAGTCCTGAAATATTTTGAAGAGTTTGAACATTAAAGAGTTGCATTTTTATATAGTATTTTGTATTTGTATATTTCTCTCCAACTATATCTAACATTTGTATGTAATTGAGGATAACTGTGGAAACAACTTTTGCAAATAATTTTTAGTTTTAACTTATGCTAAACCAATTAATCCACATAAAAGTCACTTTTAAAATGCTTAATTTAGTAAAGACTTAAATGGGAAAAATTAGTAAGTTTTTATTTTTATTCAAATTAATGTGCCAATTTATAAAATGGTAGTGGGAAAATGTTAAAATTTTATCACATTTTATTTTAAACTTCTTTTGGTTAAAAGTTTCATATTATTCTACATTTTTATTGGTTTCACTATAAAATCCTTTTGTGCATCTGGGAACAAATTTCTGAACTTGCTCAAGATGATTGCCAGCATAACTCAGGTTTTCAGGTACCAGAAGAAAAACCAGTACTTCTCAGTTTTTTTGTAAAAATAATTGCCAATTAATGCTTACAGATTTTGGAAACCCAGAATGTGGGCCTCTTAATAACTATATGAATAGCATCGTGTTAAGATTTAATTTATCTGGTCTATAAAAATAAGTTCTATTTCCCAAGCTAAATAAGATTCTCATTTTAACCTGATTGGAATTGCCCCGTGCCTCTTAATACCTGCCTCACCTAAATGTTTCTGGTGAAGTTAAAATGAGGTCACACTTATGAAAATACTCTGAAGGAATACACACAGTTGGAATCGTTTTTATAATAATACTGGCATCTTCTGGGAACTGCTCAGTGAGTTTGTTCAAACCATGATCTGGTGGTGACAAAGTGTTTGGAGAAGGTATGCACCTTTGAGTCCTACCATCGCTTGCTAGCATTGAGGATAACAGAAGCAAAACTTATAACCCCTTGGTAAAATAATCTCTTAAGACACACTAGAATGTCAGTCTGTGCAAAAGAGAGCGGTGAGTGGAGTCTCCCAGTCTTTGCTTTGGGGCTTTTGGAAGGGGTACCCAATGGGTGGTGTGGTGTCTCTCTGCATCCTGTGTGCTAACTCACTCCTGCTCTTTTTTCCTGTGCTGCCTGGCCAGGTCGCACTCCATCGGGTAAGCGCCTTGGGTCTGCGTGTGGAGCTGTCCCCTTGCTTCCTGGAGCCTTCTTTCTCTTTCACACTGTGCCTCGGCCAAAAACCTAGACTCTTTTTCCTGAGAGTGTTCACGCCCAAGGAAGATATAGTAAAGAGAGCACTTAATACACTTGAATTTATTGAAGTACATATTTATCTCATTTCTGAATCATTTACACCAATTTTACTTGCTAAGCAAGCTCATAGGAAGCTCTTTTTCTGCATCATTTCTTTCTGCATTGGCAGAGGTCCTTAGAATTGAAAGAAAAAGAAGGAAATAAAGCAAAGAAAATGGAGATTGAGAGTTGCGCATTTTTCTAAAACTGCTAGAAAGTAGAGAAACACAAAATTATTTGTTGTGGAATGTAATTTAAGGAGATATTTTGTAGAATAGTTTCTAAATGGAGTGTCTAGGGTACGTCCACGAGTATACCTTGAATTTCTTTGTCCTGCTTTCTCTGTGTTTAGTAAAGTGCTACCTGTACTCATGACCTTACTGGATATTGTTGGGGAAGGGTGACAGATTTGATCCCTAACCTGTTAGCTTCTTGGGAGAAGAGAAAACAGGGAGGAAAAGGGACCCATTTTGCCTCCTCCCTCTTCCCAGTCTGGTTCTGAGTGGAACTCGGTAAAAATTAATAGGCAATCAATCCAAGAGGATTCATAGAACAAGAAGGCTGATATATCTTAAAGTTCTCAGGAATGTTTACATGTGTACTGAATGTTCTTGACAATCACACCAGAGTGGTCGCAGAAGTTCCCTCCCCTTGCTGGCGTGGGAATTGCGTTTGCCTGACGTGTGCTTGCCTGCAGTGTCTTAAGTTAACTACCTGCATTCCTCTGGACAGTTTCTCTGCAATGGGCCGATCAGCTTCTACCTGTCTGGCTCAGCTTCCTGGATACTGCCCTTCACTCCTGTCTTCCTGAGCACGAGAAGGGAGTGTAGACCCAGGTTGGGCCTGGTGAGGTCGCCCGTGAGCTACTGGGCTCAGCTGGGAAAACCAGACATTCTCAGACTTCCTGGCCTGTAGGGAGTAAACTAATACACAACCAGGGATCCATCACCTACCTTTCATTTATACCCTTGGAAGCTGACTGTGGCCCATTATACCCGAGGAAAACAGATATCTCCTGGTTGGGTGGGCAGGGAGTATTTCAGTTATTTGAAACTGCTGTTCTAGAACCGTGAATAGGAAGTTCTTCATGTACTTATGTTGTGCTATCTCTTTTCTTTCTTTTTTCCCCCCTTTTCATTCTGCTTTTGCCCTGAAGCTACTCCATTCGCCATTCCATAAGTATGCCTGCTATGAGGTAATATTTATAAAATATTTTATATAATACCAATGCAGAATGTATTTAAAGTGTTACTTTCTTTATATTTAAAGTGTTACTTTCTTTATATTTACTTGCGGGGGGTTCCCCTTCTTATTGGAAAGGAAATTGCCGAAGTGCATGCCCTGCCTCATTCTCTTGTCTGATGTTCTTCAGGAAAAAAGGCTGACAATTCTGTAGATGTATAGTGTACTGGGCTTGGGCTTTTGACCACACAGGCTGGCTTAAATTCAGCCTTCCCAGTGGGACCTGAGACAAGCGATTTAACCTAGCTCAATCTGCATTTTCTTATCCGCAAGAAGTAGACCTCTTTCATACAGTGTTTGTGAAGCATAAACAGAGTAGCCTGTGTAAAGCACTTAGCACAAGGCCTAGAACATTTGAGGCATACTTACAAGGTGGAAATATGTTTCAGCAAAATTAAGTGCAGTCTGGGAGAAAGTTTAAATGAAAGCATAGGAGACCAAGAGGGCTAAAGTTCTAGAAAGGATATCATTTGGATTTTTATGGTAGAGATTAAAATGAGATGTCTTGAACAAGAAAATGTTGTTATAATTACTGGCCAGGTGAAAACTGGTGAGAAAGACATTCCCAGCTTCAAGCCTGTATGACTTAGTGATACAATCAGATAAAATCAAGCTAATCGTAATATAGGAATGAAGGTTAGATTGGGAAGCAGAAGATGCAAGGTGTAGCCCAGCTCTGCCAAGGATTAAATTTGCAGCCTTGGGGAAATCACCTCAGTGTTATCACTTTCATTATATTTAAAATAAGAGGCTAGAACCAGATCTGCTACACTTCCCAAGTTGCTCCCCGGAGCCCTAGAGATTAAGGCTGTCTAGAGATTAAGGCTGTCTAGAGATTAAGCCTCTGGGATCCTCCCTCACTTTAGTCAGAACTATGCCTCTCCTACCTGCTTTTTATCATACAGAGGGCGCCAAAAAAAAAAATGTATACACATCTTAAGAAAGAAAAAACTGTTTTGAAATTGTAATACTCAGTAAGATGAAGACAAGTCACGTTTGATTTCTGCAATTATAAGAGGTACTCAAAGTGGTTATCATCTGCGTCCAGACACTTCTGAAGATGGCGACCGTCTCTTAACAGCTCTTAAAATTATGCATTTTTGGCACCCCCAGTATATTGTGGTATGAATACATTACAGAGGGGGGTTCAGTTACTTTAAATGGCTTGAGACCACTGAAGCCAAATTCTTTCTAGGATTGTTTTCAGTGCTACACGTTGGTAGTTGTGCATATAATTAAATCTGAAGAGACAGTTTCTCCCTGTTCTCCAGTGTGCATTCTGGTGTAATTTAATCAGGGGAATATTTATTCTGTTGTGTCTAGTGAAGTCTCTTCTACTTAGGGGTTATGTGATTAATTGCTCAATTTGATAATTTAACCACAGTATTTGATTCAACATAGTTGATGGCAGGGAGAGAATATAGATTTGAGATTGCTTAGTTCACCTCGGAATGGCTTGGTCTTCCTAGCACAAGGACACCCAAGCTGAGTAACATAACCTGAGGCTCTGAGCTCCTTTACTTGTCAAAATTTAAGTCTGGGCATCCAAAAGAAGCTTGAAAAAACTAACGTGGTTTTGGTCTGTGAGCTTGCCTAAAATTCACTTACTTACATATATACATATATACATTTATTTTGAGTTGAGGTCTTACTCTGTCGCCCAGGGTGGAGTGCAGTGGCATGATCAAAACAATCACTGCTCACCACAGCCTTGACTTCCTGGGCTCAGGAGATCCTACCACTTCAGCATCTCGAGTAGCTGTGACTCAGGTGCACATCACCACACCTGGCTAATTTGGTCTGATTTCTTTGCAGAGATGAGGTTTCACTATGTTGCCTAGGCTGGTCTCGAACTCCTGGGCTCAGGCAATCGGTCCACCTCGGCCTCCCAAAGTGATAGGGTTTCCAAGCATGAGCCACTGCACCTGGCCCAAAATTCACTTTTAAAAAAATGATGTTACTCGTCATTTTGACATCAGGGGTGTACGTTACATTAGCGGTGTTTGTTCTTACACTCCTGAACCATTGAGCTTAACGTCTGCCCACTGTGGGCCTGTATTAACTGACGGATGCAGACTCAGCCAAGTAAAACCTGCAGTGGAAGCAAAGTGCCATAAGTATACGCTTTTTGAGTCATTCAGGTGTACTTTTGCTAATGTGTCATCATGAAGCAGGTTATGGAGGGTTACTCATCGGGATTTGGCATTTGAGTCACAGGCAAGGTATGATGCCATGCCCATGCCCTCTAAACTCAGTATTTTTAATGATGCAGCCTTAATGTGGGTGCATTTCTGACCATGTGGAGTGTCAGAGACTCAAGAGACAATCCCCAACAAAGCCAAATTCACTCAAAACTTTATTTTCTACATTGGTTGCCCCGTGATAGTCAAAGAGCCATGCTTCATCCCACACCATCCAGTGAAACCCACATTTTATGACCACTCTCCTTTATAAAGTTTCACTAGGCCATTCCTCTTATTTTACTGTTTCTGCACTCAAGCGAGAATAACAAATGGCTTATAAAATGTAGTCACGTTTAGTTGAATTATTCGACCCGAAAAATGATGGCAGTTTTTGCTGCTGAAAGCTGACATGGATACAAGAGTTAAGATACATCTAGTGTAGTTTAGTTCCTGTTTCTTTAGTTGGACTTGGGGATAATTTTTAATGGTAATGATGCCGTTACATTGTCATGTCATGCATGTGGCCAAAGCCAAATATGGGAAACCAGAAAGCTCAGATGAAGTACTCAATACTTAAAGAAACAAGATGATCTGTAGATTATTAACAAAATGAATAAAATGGCACAAATAAAATGGCAATAGGCTGCTAACATTCTGTAAGCATAGATAGAGAACAAATAGTTTCCTTTTGGGGAAAGGAAAGTGTTAATAGCACCATTTTGATCAGGCATTAGGTAGGTAATGGGTGTTTTTCAACTTAAAGAAAGTTTCCAAAACACTACTTCATGGAAGTTATCAAAATGATTACTTTTGAAGGCATGGAAAAGAAACAAAGTATGGACCTTTTTTTTCCTTGCACTATTTCTGTCTTGTCGCACATTTGCTGAAATAAGTAACTTTAAAATTTCAAGTGGGCAAACTCAAGCATGGCATTCTTCTTGCAGATTCCCCACTGGTTACTAAAAAAACTGGGTTGGGAAGAGAATTGTTGTGATAGAAATGATTAACTGCTGAATGAAAACGTAAGTGACCGATCACACCACAGGCTCATTGGAAATGATACACAGTGTGCCATGGAATTATTCTAGTTGTATCATCGCCACGTGCTATATTATTTATTCTGCAGTTGAGGACCTGGCCACCTGACCTAGAAAAATTCCATGTCAGATTATGGTTTCTGGACCCAGCCTAATACGAATGACATATATTTTAAAACATGGTTGGTATAGGAGGCAAACTGACTGGTGTCCCTGGAGCAGAGGCGATATTTACAAATATGAACAGAAATCCAGACAACCTGGTTGCTAAGACAGCTAGGTCTTTGGAGCTGACCTCTCTCTTTTTGTTATTTTAGGAATTCTCCTACTTTCAAATCATTTGAGGAGAGGGTTGAGACAACTGTCACAAGCCTCAAGGTACAGATGAAGTGAATTTTGTGTGAATGGGTCCATTGAATCAGGACAGCTTAGTCATTGCTGCGGGTGGTTCTGAGGCAGGGCTAAGAAGACAGACTGGTATAAAGTCAGACCTTTTACTTCACACAGACATCTATGAATAAAACCAGTGTTAAATGGTGTGACTGTCTCCATGGAGTTGTTTGTCTAAACCATTCTGGGGTGTATTGCTCATTAAAGTGAACTGGGGATTGTGTTGACCATGTACTCTCTTAATGCTATCCCCCCAGATACATTTGTGAGAGATGATTGTGGATAGGATAATGGCTATATGAATTCTGAATTTAGGGTACGAGTGAAAATTCAGTAATAGCTCAAAGTTCCTCTGGTTTGGACATGGACCAGCAGAACAGATTTGGTACCATCTATTAGCTGCTACCCACTACCTGTCAGCCACCTAGGCTTCTTTCTAAACTCACACCCTGAGCTCAGGGTGATATGGCTATCACAGAGGGGAAATGGAGCTGAGTCACAACAGACATTTCATAATAATGCATTTGATCCCTAGGTATAGGCTGAAAATATGCCTGTTACGTGGTAGGTATTTTTTTAAACTCACTAGATTTATTGTTTGAGCATGGGTGTTAGACTACAGAGGAAAAAGAGCAAAAATAAAATCAGTCTAGTCTCAAAACATATGAACTTTTAAAACAAGAAAAATTATTGAAATAAGATTCATTTTGTTGTTGTTGTTGTTTTTGGAATTGGAGTCTCACTCCATCGCTGAGGCTGGAGTGCAATGGCACACTCACCCCAGTGCCTACCTGCTGGGCTCCCGGGATCCTTCCGCCTCAGCTTTCCAAGGAGCCAGAACTACAGGCATGCACTACTGTGCCCAGCTGATTTTTTTTTTTTTTTTGATGTATTGTAGAGATGAAGTCTCACCAAATTGCCCGGGCTGGTCTCGAACCCGCGGGCTCAGGCAGTCCACTCACCTCGACCTCCCAAAGTGCTGGGGTGATAGGCTGAGCCACCAAGCCTGGCCAAGATTAGTTTTTAAAAGATATCTCCTAAACAGTGACTTAGTTACATCTTGATAGCATTATCACTATTTCGTATACAATCCATTTCTGTATCTTAGTTACTTGGGCTGCTTTGGAGTCCTGTGTCACCACACTGTTGTCACATGAGCTGCCTGGCACAGCTCTGCGAGGTTTTAAGTTACTCCTTCCCACAGGTCCCAGAGATCTCTACAGACTTGGACCTGGGGTCTTCCTTTTAGGGGAGAATCTTTCACAGTCTTTTCTCCTCTATCAGGCCCCAAGAACAAAATGATCACCCAGCAGTGACCATGCCTCTGACGTTTTCTTTCACCAGCGGTTTCTAGTTGTGTAGTTTCACTACTCTGCTTGTCCACATCACTACTTATCCAATGTACAGGGACCAGTAGGAGTCATTACATTGCCCCATGGGTAGGAAAATTGTTTAAAGGGCAGGGCATGTGATGCTGTGGGCTTTCTCTTCCCAGAATCTTAAAACAAAAAGCTCAAAGATGCTACGAGTCAGTTTCCAAATACTTGGTTTGTGGGCTCAGACAACCAAAGGAGGATGGATTCTGTTGCTTGTTAGACAAGTTCTGACATAGGAGAAGTTGTACTTTTTAGGTATTTTTTGAGAAGGAGATATGAAGAAGCAAAAGAACAAACAACTGCCTATATCATTTGCTTTTAGGAAACTCTGATGAGCTTAGGGCTTACAGATGACTTAAGGGTTTGATCCACCCTCATCCTGTCTCTTTTCTCACCTCATTGGGATAGAAGGTTTTGAGCCTGCCTTCTCCTTCAGACACGCACAGAACTAACTCATCCCGCCAGATACTAGCCTTTGTCAAGACCTCCTGAGAGTGGAGTCTGTGCTTGTATGACTGTTCTCGGTTTAACCAGACTGCATGCCACACACCTCCTATCTCATGGCCAACGCCTAATTCCTCTTCTGCTGCTCACCCAGGCACGGGAGACTGGCTGATAATCACACTTCGTGTAAAACCTCCTCCTTCCTCGATAATGACAAATTTCTCATTTGTTTTTTTCCCTTCTAGACTAAATAATAGGTATATTTAACCCTTCTTTATATAGCGTGTTTTCTGCAGTTTACTTTTGTGCTCTAAATCTTCTCCAGAATTTCCGATATTCTTTAATTAAGACTTTGGGCAGTTTTCTGCTGCAGGAATGACTCACGAATCAGTAAGAATGAGTGAAATTGCTTGCAGGTGGATGTGCAGCGTTTCTGTTCGCATGTCCTGCTTTCAGGTCACTTTTTTAAATGCCACCTGTAGGGAACCATGGCCGTATTTATGTTCTGTGAGAAACAACATTCCGCTGTAAAGCGGGGCCCACTCCTGCTGTCTGGCCACACAATCTGTTACTACCACGTGGCATTTGTATCAAGTTATTTTGTTTTTCCATGAAAAACTCTGCAGTCATATTAAACGTAGTTCTGCCTATAGCCTTCCAATGTATTACTGGATGACATCTCAGCTGGTGTCACCTGTACAGTCACTGAGCATACTTTCTGTTTCATCCAAAACAACCCAGAAGACGCAGCACCAACTCCTAGGAAATGCTACCACGTTCCAGTGAATCATAAGTAATGACATCTTTTCCAACCATTCTGCATCTGTGCCAAGCAGCCCCTATTTTTAATGCACCTACTTTTTGATAGACACATGACCTGAATAAAAAGTTTTGTTATACTTTTTGTTTTTTTGTGTCCTTGCAATCAGCTATTTTATTTTGAGTGGTTAGGAAGCCCAGCTTAGCAATTCACATGTAACTTTATACAAAGAACAATGATAGTTTTGGGGAAAAGTAACAAGTGCTTGGATGAAGAACCATTATGCAAGAGTCCGGAAGTTTATTGCTCGCGTCTTTCCTCAAGCAGGTGCTTGCCTGACCACTGCGGTGTGCAGTCATGACACCCACATGCTAGGAAACCCTTTTATTCCCTCTCCTCTTTGCCAAATTGGTTTATTTCAAAGCAGCTCCCTCTTTCTTTCTTTTCCTACTCTGTTTTGGAGAGAAGAATGAAACAAAGCTCAGAAAAAACCATCAGTAATTGGTATTCATTTGATTTAATATTGTGAGTGACTTCGATCGCAAAACAGAAGCAAAAGAGAATGTGAATGGAAAAAAAGGAGATGGGAACGCTTAATCAAGTAGATTACATTGAATTAACCTTATTTGTTTCTCTCGGGATAGAAATAAGCATAGTGAAAGATCACACAGTTGAAAGAACCCCGTCCCTCCACTTTTTTCCAGTGCTAAGAGTTGGGGAGAAATCTGTGTCTGAGGTCCCCAACCATGGAAGGCCTGGGCCAGATCCAACTGGTCACCTTCTTCTGAATGACTTGTAAGCTCAAAGTGTTTTTACATGTTTTACTGATTGAAAGAAAAAATCAGTAATATTTTGTGACATATGAAAATTAAGTTATATGAAATTCCCATTTCAGTGTCTGCACATGAAGTCTTATTGAAACACAGCTGCACTGTTTTCCTTCGTATTGTTTGTCTGATTCTATAAGAACTGATTTGAGTATCTGCGACAGTGACGATGTGATTCCCAAGTCTAAGCAGAGTGGAAAAATTAAGCAGAGTAGAAAAATTCAGCTTAATAATTGAATTTAAGAGGCAGAAAGGGGGATTTTAGTGACAATTGGAGAAAAGTGTTTGTTTTATAATGGCAGGACTGGTTTTATACCCTGGTTAAGTTTTTTAAAGGGCAGGCCACGCAACTGGGACACATTCTGTGGTTTGTTATGTCTGTGAGTGATCACTTTGGCGACAGTGAGGCATAGACATCAGTTTGGCAATAGCAATATTAATCTATTTTGTATCTTCCTTTTCCTCAAAGCATTTTTTCTACATTTTGAAAAACAGTGGAAAGGAAGCCCCATGTGACTTTTTTTTTTTTTTTTTTGAGTCAGGGGTTTTACTCTGTTGCCCAGGCTGGAGTGCAGTGGCATAATAACAGTTTACTGCAGTTTCAGTCCCCTGGGTTCAGGTGATCCTTTGGCCTCTGCCTCCCATCGTGCTGGGATTACAGATGTGAGTCACGGTGGCCAGTTCCACATGACTACCACCAAGATTTGCACCATTAGATATTCCTTTGAAGGACTTTTTAATAAGGATGTCTTCAAAATACCCCATTTTTAAATTGTAGGTTGATTTCTTTGTATTTCTATTCTATTCTTGGTCAATAACAAGTACACAGGCCGAAAGCCTCATAAAACCCCACAGCTCTGCGTTTTAAGGGATAGTTCTACTATAAAGGCAATTGCCTAGAAAGATTTGAAATTACCAATGTTCGAGACTTGATCTCAAAGTGGAGATCAGAAGTCGTGTTCTGCTGAGCCACGCTGCCTTTCCAAAAGACATTTGGCAGAAATCCAGATTGCTCCACCTACTTACTCTCAAGTAGAAACCCAAGTTTAAGACACTGAAGGATGTTCACATATGTAAACATGTTTACACATGTAAAATTAGGGGAATAAACCTAAAATCTGGTTCTATTTTTTGTTTGTTTGTTTGTTTGAACTTTATTATTGAGAATGGAACACTTTTTTTTTTTTGAGTCAGAGTCTCACTCCGTTTCTCAGGCCTGAGTGCATTGGCTCGCTCATGGCCACGGCAGCCTCGACCTGCTGGGCTCGGCGATCCTTTTGCCTCAGCCTTCTAAGTAGCTGGAAATACTGGTGTGTGCAACCACGCCCGCTAGTTTTTTAATTTATTGTAGAGATGAGGACTCCCTAAGTTGCCTAGGCTGTTCTCGAACCCGTGGCAATCCCCTTACCTCGGCCTTCCAAAGTGCAGGGATGACAGGCCAGAGCCACCACGCCTGGCATGGTTCCATTTTGATGAGATCGGTTCTCTGGGTGAGTGAGGGTAGATGTTGCAAATCCCTGGATCGGATTAAGCTCCTGAAAGGATTAAAATCTCAGAGGTAGAAGAGTTACAGTGGGTTGCTAAAATCGTATAAAATTAAAGTTTGCACTCCTACCCCACAACTCAAGGATGTATGACATTCTAGCATTCTGCTACAGGGAACTGACTTCTCTATATTTTTTTGCCTCTAAAGATAAAAAGCGTTTCTGAAATCAAAAGTAGTCAAGCTTTTGGCAGTCTTAGGAAAACATTACGAGAACGAGAATGAACAACTAACTTTGTTTTTGCGGATCTGCTCGTTTCAGACGAAAGTAGGTGGGACAAATCCCAGCGGAGGCAGTTTTGAGGAGGTCCTCAGCTCCACAGCCCACGCCAGCGCCCAGAGCTCCGCGGGAGGCCCCCGGCGGGCCGAGGAGGAGCTGCAGTGCTAGGCCCCGCCCGTCTGCAGTTGCATCCAGAAACCAGCCACTGCCCAGCCTGTCTCTGCCCAAGCCTTCCCAGACATGAAGACCAAAATCCCACGGGGGGGAAAACCCAGGCCTTGACATTGTTGTGCAGATGGCCTCTCCAGAAAGTTCAATAAAATGATTTCCATTTGTGTTTGTGTTGATGATGGGCCACTTGACCATCACACTTCCGCATTCATGGGCTGTCATTTCAAAACGTCCCCACTTGAAGAGATACACAGTTGGTCATAACTCGTCTGTGTGATTCAGTGTCAGTTTTGCAAACATGTGGCTGTTATTTGCTTTCAATTTTGCTCGGCCTCCTTTTCGATGTGCATGCCCTTGAAGGCTAGGTGAACAGTCCCTTTCGGTTCAGTCGATCATCAGGATGGAGCTCTTCACGACGGTCTCCGGCACCGGGAGGACTTGCTGCCAGCGTCGTCAGACTCCTTGAGAGCGCCTCACCTATATCCATATGTATGTTTATTTAAGCAATTAAAAGAACAGATTGTAATGATGACGTTGAATTCTTAATTTCTTTTGAGTCTTCAGGGCTGTCGGTGACCGTAAAGTTAGTAGTTATGATTCTATCGCTGCGATTTCAAATCAACTTCTACTGCTGATAGGGTGAACATGAGAGGGGATATTATAACCTCAGCTGCCTTAGTATGTTTAAAAAATCTCTGATTTTAAAATTCTGTCTAATCTACCTAGACTAGCAGTTATAAGGGTTATCTGAAAAGGAGACAGCTAGAAAATTAGTTTGCACCTTGTTCACGTGTATGAAAATAACTTGTTTGTATTAATTCATTCAGATTTCTGCAGTAACTTTTACCTTCCACATATGTTTCTCTCTTCTTCTTCTCACTGGAAACACATTTGTTACTAGGTAGCAGGGATATAGCCCTAAGATACCTTTGTAACATGCATACTCAACAGACTACTAAAAAAAAAAAAATCACAATCTAAAAAGCCACATAATACACATATATATTTGTTAGCATGCTAATTGTCCATTCTTTGTATTTATTATTGAATAGAAGCAGATGTGTGTGATATTGTGAATAAAGCCCATCTGAAAATTTCTATTCAAATTAATGGACCCCAACATCTGTACAATCTGAACAATTAACTGAAAATCTAGCTGGGGCTGAGGCGGAAGGATCGCCGGAGCCCAGCAGGTTGAGGCTGTGGTGGCCGGGAGCAGCCACTGCACTCCAGTCTGGGCGACAGAGTGAGACTCCAACTCAAAAAAAAAAAATAAAATAAAATAATGAAAATCTAGCTGGTTCAGGGCCACATAGCCTCTGAGGCCTGGAAACCTAGCAGAGGGAATAGGGCTGTAAACTTGAACTAGAGTGTACAAATGTAGACAACAGGGGTGCTGGCATTCTCTCTATCTTGTGCTTCCAGCCTGCTGGCGAAATCGAGGCAGGAAGCCAACTCTGTTCAGCCAGCTCGTAGGCTGTGCTGGCATGCCCGCCGCAGCACATGGGTACTATTCTCTGTCTGCAGTTGCCTGGTGAGTGTGAAATAGCCAACTGTCATAAACCCACTGCCACCTTCTTTTTTGACTGCACTCAGCACTCTGCATTGTATTAGATAGAGCAGAATCATGGTACTTTAAACAAGTATCTTTATTCTCCAACCAATTTCTGCCACAGCAGTCTCAGCCTGAAAACATGGTATCAGAATTGGATAGAAAAACAAAACAAAAACTAGTGGTAATAACTCAAAACTCCCGATACATTTTAGCTACTTATTAAACCATCATAATCTTAATTTCATCAATTTGGCAAAAAACATGTTCATATCACTTCTCATAATCTAAAGACATTTTATGATTCACTCTGTCCCAGGAATGACATTCATAGTGGCCATGACATGAGTAGCCCGTTTTCTTTTTGTCGTAAAACGTCTTTGAATGAGTCACCTAAGATTAGTCAAATCAGTTGTTGGTAGGCGGGCAGTCTTAGCCTTCCAGGTGTTGGTAGGTGGACAGTATTAGCCCACCAGTTGTCGGCAGGTGGGAAGTCTTACCTAGATTAGGCAGTGAGCCCGGTCTCATTCTCAGTGCATCACTGGGAGTTGCCTGCGTCTCCCTCACTTTGCATGTGCAAACCATCCTGACATAACTGGCCGCTGAGTTTCTGAGTTATGTCTCGCTGAGCTCAGTTCACCCGCAGTAAAGTGTTTCACAAATCTAAAAAGTATTTGCACACAATAAACCTTTTACTAATAAACCAAAATGACTTCAAGTCAACCCTTGAAAAGTCTTACATGAAAAGATATCTCAACAAGAAAAGGTACAGTTGACCCTTGGACAACATGGGTTTGAAATGCATTTGTCAGGCAACCCCTTTGGGTTCCCTCTCGCTGTGGGAGCTTCTCTGTCCTCTCAATAAATCCTGCTTTCTCAAAAAAATAAAATAAAGCATTTGTTCACTTATTAGGTGCAGACTTTCTCCCACCTCTGTCACCCTGAGACAGCAAGATCAACCCATCCTCTTACTCCCCACCCCCAGTCTATTCAATGAGAAGACAGAGGATAAAAACCTTTATGAAGATCTGCTAAGTAGACTTAAGGAGTAGCAAATACATTGTCTTCATGATTTTCTTAATAACATCTTTTCTCTAGCTTACTTTTTGTAAGAATGTGGTATATAATAAATATAGCATACAGAATGTTTGAGTCGACTGTTTGTTATGGGTAAGGCTTCTCTAGTCAATAGTAGGCTATTACTAAAGTTTTGGGGGAGTCAAAAGTTACACTTGGGCCGGGCTTGTTGGCTCAGCCTGTCATCCCAGCGCTTTGGGAGGCTGAGGCAAGTGGATTGCTGAAGCCCGCGGGTTCGAGACCAGCCCGGGCAACTTGGTGAGACCTCATCTCTACAATAAAAAAATAGCCGGGCGTGATAGTGCACGTCTGTAGTTCCAGCTACTTGGAAGGCTGAGGTGGAAGGATCGCTGGAGTCCAGCAGGTCGACGCTGGGGTGGCCATGAGCATGTGTGCCACTGCACTCCAGCCTGGGCGAAGGAATGAGACTCCAACTCAAAAAAAAAAAAAAAAAAAAAAAGTACGCTCATATTTTCAACTGCACAGGCCCTAACCCCCACATTGTTCCAAGGGTCAACTATCTCGATCATCAAAATTTCCAACGTAAATTGTGGTCATAAACTGCATGCTTTAGTAAGAAGCGTCTTCATGTGCCATCAACAGTGGCGACCATGGAGACAGCCAGGGATCTGTGCTGCTCGTCCGCCACTGCTTGTTGTTCCAGAGTTACTCATCAGCTTGAAAATGGCTGAACTGGGCCGGGCTCGGCGGCTCAGCCTGTAATACCAGCGCTTTGGGGGACTGAGGTGAGTGGATTGCCTGAGCCCTCGGGTTCGAGACCTGCCCGGGCCACTTGGCGAGACCTCATCTCTACAATAAATAAAAAAAAAATTAGCCGGGCATGGTAGCACAAGCCTGTAGTTCTGGCTACTTAGAAGGATCGCCGGAGCCCAGCAGGTCAAGGCTGGGAGGATGCCACTGCACTCCAGCCTGGGCGACAAAGTGAGACTCCAACTCAAAAAAAAAAAAAAAAAAAGAGAATTGAACTGCACTACAAGGTGGCGCGTAAGGTTGTGAGCTGCAGCCCAACATCCTCCTCTTACATAGTATCAAACAAGGGTACCTGCATAATCAGCGTTTGTATACCTAGCCCTGAATTGTGTCCCACATCTTTAAAACAAAAAATATATATATCAATAAGGAGCAAGAATGAATGCAGTGAAGGGAGGTGGTGGTAAGGTTAAACAGTGACTTTATATCAAATGTGAAACAAATTCCTCAAGCCTAGCATTGAAATATAATTTCAAACTATGATAATATGTGGGAAAATTTTATGATTGCTTGAGATTGATAAAATTCTTCATGCGCCCTTTCTTCTTTTCAGTTCATACCACAGACAGTATACATTTAGCAAGGCAAACCCAAATAACAATCATAAGTCTCCCACAAAAATGACCCTACGTCACCTCCGAATACAAAGACTGGCAAACTGCTTAAATAAAAATGCTGAGTACAGAGGGTGCTTTCTCTCTTTTTTTTTAGTTGGAGTCTCACTCTGTCACCCAGGCTGGAGTGCAGTGGCACACTTACAGCCACCCCAGCGTTGACCCGCTGGGCTCCAGCGATCCTTCCGCCTCAGCCTTCCAAGTAGCTAGAACTACAAGTGCACACCACCACATCCGGCTAATTTTCTGATTTATTGTAGAGATGAGGTCTCGCCAAGTTGCCCGGACTGTCTCGAACCCACGGCCTCAGACAATCCACTTGCCTCGGCCTCCCAAAGTGCTGGGATGACAGGCAGAGCCGCCAAACCCCGCCCAGAAGATGCTTTTTCACAAAGCATCAGTCATTTATCCCAGGGCACGTATCAACACCACAAGACTTTGAAATGAATTAACATTTTTTCAGATATAAGGACATTGAGAATTATCTATCTTTATCTATTATCTATCTGGTATAATGCCAGTCCACAAGGGAGAAACAGTAACAAGAAATTATTTTTTGTTGAATTAAACCCAAGAATAATTATTTATTCTGCATCATAACCATAGGGTTTCTTATCAGAAGACCAATTCCAGGCAGGTAGCAGGTATCTTCCAAAAATATTTATTTTTTAAGTTATAATGCTCAAATATCTATAAACATTGCTGGGAGATTCAAAAATCTTCATTTTGTTCTTTTCTCATTAAATGAGATTTTACTTGTAGCACTATTACATTTCTTTCTTTCTTTTTAGGACTAATTGACAACCCCCACTTGGTAGGTAGATGATAAATGGCCAAGTAATAGCATCAAGTTTGAGATGATAAGTGAGATCCAGTAGAGGCTTCGACAGTCTGTGAACTATGTTGGGTATTTTTGGAAAGTATGGCAGACAACACATTCAAAGTAAAACTCCAGGGCCACAGAAAACCTTCTGGCTATAAATACTTGAACTTTATCAAGGGGTTATTTTGTGCACATCTTCTTCATGCCACAATACAGATAGATGGAGCTGTCTTCTTTTTTTAACTTTATTTTATTATGGAGATGTGGGGTTCACGTCAGGACTAGGGACACAAGTTATCTGTGTGCAGGTGAAGTTTGGGTCTGACAGTTGTTTTCTTACCAGTTACATCTGCAGTAATAATCAGACTTCGCACTCTTTCTATTTGTCAGTGGAGAACAACTACACGTACATGTGTGTTGCTTCTGAGGAGACCAGGCACCTTGCTTCCTGCAGATTGGGTGTCCATGGATACTGCAGCGTTTCCAAAGAAACGGTGCCTAGAACTGTACGCTAGCCTCAAAGGCCTTCAAGCGGAAACTGATATTTGAGTTAAAGAAACAGGCATCATCTGACAAGAGCCACACCAGAATACTGGGCAGGTCTGCATGATGGTCTTCTTTTCTGTACTTCTCAGTGTAACAGCAACTGGGGTGGATGACTTATTCTATAAAACGGAAAGGAGGGAGAGACACTGGGGTTGATGTATTCCCTAAGGCTCAGCAACCCTGGTTCCTAGGATATATTTCTTACCTGGTGACAAATGTTCTTATAATCAAGATTTCAAGATTTGTAAACCAGACAGGGAAAAACACAGAGAGGAAGACAAATGGCATTTAATCGTATGCTCCAACTTACATCCCTAAATGACAGAAAGGATTGGAGAGGGGCAGAACCTACTAGTAGGGTGACAAATCGAGATCCTGAAGCAGCCACGGTCAAATTCAAAATCCAGCTCAAGAGAGTGATCATCTGAATGTGGCAGCATTTCCTTTGTGGAGAGAAAACACAACTGATACCCTTTCTTTTCTCGAGTCTTATCACTAAGTCAGCTGAGGAATCTGTTCTTATAGGCAACTGCAATTAAATTTTCTACTGTTCAATAGATCTGGCCTTCAGAGATGTGGGTTGTTAAGTCAGAATAAGGGGATTTAAAATCTCCAATAAGTATCCCAAAGCTTTAGTTTAATATTTATTTAGTTAGTTAGTTCATAGAAAGGCACTTTCTGTGCCAGTCTTCATCCATGACACGTTCATGACCACTTCCTGTTCCGTGGCTTCTTTTAGTGCCTAAATTACACCACATTTCTTGCTGAAGTCCAGACAACTCAAGATAAACAGAGCCACATCTGGGAAAATCAACAGATCAACAATGGCAAAACACGATGCCATAAACTGGAAAAATAAAATATTTGTTACAGGAGTGCAGCAGTGTAGACAGTGGTCTCAGGAATGCGGCTCACAGGCGGCTGCAGCTATGTTGGCATTTCTTTCAGCCTCAAGTTCAGATACAAGCTGGACTATCTCAGGGTGACTGAATTTTCCTGCACAGCAAAGAGACAGGGAAAAAGAAATCCCCATATTGACAGGAGAATACATCCATTTCCCCAGCTTGATCCCAGGACTCAACAGGGGCGCTAGTCTGTGACCTGACCCCCTTCCCTGCACAGCAGAAGGAAATGCCAATCCCGGGAAGGGACCGAAGGGGCCACTTGGTGTTTATTCTCTGTCACCCCGGTTGCAACCGAGTATGAGGATGACAATCAGGCCAGGAACCATCCGTCAGGCAGGGCTAGGGGTAACATCCCGAGACGGCTCCTGAATGCCTCCACCAGGAACTTGGAGAAAACTCAGGTTGGAGAGAGCACAGAGAGCTAAAAGCAATCCCCACCTGTTTGGAAACTCCAGTTAACTAAGGGGGACCAAAAGGTCTACGCTGTCCCGGGATGTAACCAGGGGGCCGGCGTCTCTCCTGCAAACACCCTGACGCTTCAGCAGGCAGATCTGTGCTGTGGTCCCCGCTCCTCAGCCATCCCAGATTTCCACCCTGGCAGCACTCACGCTTGGAGCCACTGCAGGTCCATGGCGGCTCGCAGAGGGTCCTGTGAAGCCCAACATCTCTCCCCTCGCCGTCTCTCCTGGCCTGTGCCTTTTGCGGCTCACAGGTCATGCCCCACGAAACACTGCTCCATGTGTTTCCTGTCCTCAACTTCTTCCCGAACGTTCCCCTCCCTTTCTTTTTAGATGCCCCACACGGACGGGTCAGAAGAGGACACCAACATGGGGTTTCACATTAGTTTCACAGTAGTCACGGCACTGAGTAAGCCACACTCAAACGGATTCTTGCTGAAAATGGGGCCGAGTACCTGCCGTGGAATCGTAGAAGTCTTGCAGTCTCCCGGGTTTGTTCTCAAGGTCTTCGTATTCAGATGCCTGAAGAATCATCTCACACTGGTCCAGCTGCTTCACAAATCTGGCTTCTGCGGTAGATTGGGTCTCGTACTCCTAAGTAAGGCGACAATCAGAGCAGCACGATTAGGGCCGCAGGATAGGGTACTCCCGGAAAATTCTGACTGTGATGCCTGCAATCAGAGTCATAGCTAAAAGCACATTCCGCATTGGCCACATTTCTCCGCTGCATGCACACCCTTCAGTTACTTCACCTGTGACCTCACAGCCTAACCCCCGCTCTGCGCGAGATGGGCACGCTCGCCATTCCAAGCATTCCACCAGACGCCGCAGAAGGCTCGCGGTTCATCGTAGACACTTCTAAGCGCTGTTCCTCCTGTTTAATATCCTGTCTTCAATTCGAGATCATCACTCTTTAATCCTGAACTGCTTAGATCTTTTTCACTTCAAGCTGGTGCTTCATCTTAGGCTTCTCAAACTTGCCTTACCCTCTCCATTTAATGTCAGGTTTCCTTTTCCTTTGTCAGTGGATTTTTAGCTTCACCATTTACTTTTAGTTACCACCTTACCTGGGGTTCTCTGTCCTTACTTTCCACAAAGGGAAGATTTAATTAAGTCCCTCCGGGTTACAACTACTGAGGATACAGCCAGGATCTGAGGAGTCTGCACTGGAGGAGTCTGCACTGCCCATGTTGGAAGTGGGGGTGGGGAGGCACACCTTTGTGCCTCTCCCCGCTGGTCCCGCCCTCTGAAGTGCAGACCTGGAACACAAAGCTCCAGGAGATCTGCGTCTTCCAGCGTGACACATGCTACACAACCACAAGTGCCAATCAGTACCCCACAGACTCATTCTTCCATTAAGACCAAAGTGCTCCCAACTGGTTTCCCTGCCAAGTTCTCATTTGTAATTCCACCCCAGATGTGTTTGGATAATAAACCTGTCACGCTCTCCTGGCAGGGTGATGTGATAGGAATCACTGAAAAGTTTCTTGGTTTTTATTAGATGCCTTATTCTCCTACAGGCAGCTATTCGGATTTGATAGAGCTGAAAATCGTACAGGGGAATCATTTAAATATGGATACATTTTGCTTTATCTCCAAGGCACTTAAAAATAATTGCATTTTATTAAGTATTTATTCACATTTATAGTTTTATATATTTATATTTAATAAATTCAAGTTCATGGTACAACAAAAGGAATACTCCACGTCATAGCAGTCTAGAGCTTTTCTTTTTCTTTTCTGAAAGTTGAAAGTGCGAAAAAGATGTAAAGACCATAGGACATAAAATATATTTTATAATAAATTCTGGTGAACTTATAGACTTCTTTTAAAAGAAATACAAATTGTTGAATTTTTCCCAATTATGGGAAAAATTATGATTCCGGCATTTTCCAGTTTTATTTTTCAGTTAAGAAAAAAGAATACTATAGACAAAAACTCCGGGAGTGAGAAGGACACATGGCATTTGGAGAAATTACTGCAGAGGCTCCTAAGGTCAGGAGAGTCGTGTTCTGGCCTGCATTTCAGAAAGTTCCCTCTAACTGCAGTGTGGATAACAGCTAGAAGGCAAGCAGAAAATTCGGGTTCTGAGAGTTTGTAGCACTAGCAGAGGAGTCACAAGAACCTGGTCTAAGACTGAGGCTGTGAACGTCTGTGATGATCTGTGGGCCCTGGGAATCGGAAAATCGCAAAACACCCTGCAGGTATTCACTAGGAATCTCAGTTTTGAAGAACAGCGGTCGATGGTGGGAGGGACGGCGCCCACTCCGACGGCAAGGCGCCGACGCCAGACAGCTTGACACTAGTGCATCCTCCCATCTTGCCTGCAGGTGCTCCCTTCCAGGAGAGGATCCCACGTGAGGAGAAGCCATGGGGAAACTGAGAGGGATAACAGAGGTGAAGAAAAGACCCAGAAAAAATGGGGAAGGGGCTGGGCACGAGAGATCACACCTGTAATCCCAGCCCTTTGGGAAGCCGAGGTGACAGGATTAAGTTTGAGATCAGCCTGAGCAACATAGTGAGTCCTTGTCTATATAAAAATAAAAAACTTAGCCAGATGTTGGCGCATGTCTCTGGTCTCTGGCTACTCGGGAGGCTGAGGTGAAATGAATGCGTGAGCTCAGAAGGTACTTCAGCCTGGGTGGTGGAGTAAGACCTCAACTCAAAAACAAGCACACACACACACACACACACACACACACACACACACACACACACACTCACACACACACAAATGGTGAAGGAAACAAAGCCAAGAAATCTCTAAAAGTAAACCACCATTTTTTTTTTTTTTTTGAGCTAGAGTCTCACTCTGTTGCCCAGGCTGGAGTGCAGTGGCACGCTCCTGGCCACCCCAGCCTCGACCTGCTGGGCTCTGGCGATCCTCCCGCCTCAGCCTTCCAAGGAGTCGGAACTACATATGGCTGCTACCATGCCTGGTTTATTTTTGATTTATTGTAGAGATGAGGTCTCACCAAGTTGTCTGAGCTGGTCTCGAACCCACGGGCGAAAGCAATCCACTTGCCTCAGCCTCCCAAAGTGCTGGGATGACAGGATGAGCCACTGAGCCTGGCCTAAACCACCATATTTTAACACTACATTTTAAAAAACACAACAACAATAACAAAAGCAAAAGAGGAAACTCTTATGAAATTAAAAAAAGCAATCTACTTTTACCACAAAAAGGAATCAGCAAGTATTTGAGGTAATGCATATGTTAACTAGCTCAATTTAGCTACTCCGCAATGTATACATATTTCAAAGCATCATGCTGCACACCATAAATATAGTTTTTATTTGCCCATGTAAAAGTAACAAAAACTGGGAAAAAAAATCTGATTCAAGTTTCTTTCAGAGAAAAAAAAAGTTCAGAAAAACTGCTCACCAAAAATAAGCAACAGAAAAGCTGAGGTCGGATCCCCTACAAATTTACCATGAGATAAAAAGAATAAAAAGCAAAATAACATCTCCACAAACAATTCATATCAAAAGAACATACTCAATTGTTTAAAAAAAGAGAGATCAAATCTGTAGCAAACCTTTTCAAAAAGAGATAAAAGATATTAAAATGATGTTACATGAAAAAAGCAATATAAAAAGAATTAAAGATAAGAGAAATTTTAGAAATGAAGACCAAGCCAAAAAGAAAAAACAACAACAACAACAACCCACAAGGGTAGTTAAATATGATGGGCAAAAACTGAAAAGGGGGCCAAGTGTAAAAGTCAAAGAGAAATGAAGAAGACATAAAGAACTTGAGAGAAGGTGACAGATACTGAAGACAGGCACAGAAGAACCAACATACAGAGAAGAGTCCCATAAAAAAGAAAGCCAAAGCAAAAGGAAAAACTACTTCAAGTAAGCCTTTTGAAGGTACAATTTTTTTTAAAAGATTTGAAAGTGTCAACTGAAAATGCACACTAAATATCTAAAGCTATTAACCCAGAATGACCAACACAAAAATACATTCTAATAAAATTACCAGACTTAGAAGAAGTAAAAAAATCCTCTGGACGGCTTTGTAAGAAGAGAATCCAGCTTATAAGGAAATAAAATAATGATGAGACTAACAGTAAAACTTGATGTCAGAAGAAAACGGGAGTAATGTTTTTAAGATTTTCAAGGAAAAAAGCTGGGAGCTGAGGAATTTATATTCAGCGAATCTGAACTTCAAGTACAGAGAACACAGAGAAACTATTAAAAACATGCAAGAATTTAGGGAATATTGTTCCTGTAAGCCTTTCTTGAAGAATCTTAAAAAACAAGTCTCAGACAACCAAAACTATTAAAGACTGACATTAAGGACTAGTGGAGAACATAACTACACAGTCACTTGAAGAACCAAGGCCAAATGAAGTTTAAAAGGGAGAGGTGATAGTCTGCAATGGTTAAATGCTTTAACAATGTAGACACAGCCCAACTAGAAAAAAGATAGGGAGAGGATGGAGACAGCACAGACAGTATGATTTTTAAAGTTGTCTTCAGTAACGGGAATTGATGATGGTGGTCATGGAAGCAGAGGAGGGACGTGGAGGGAAGAGGAGGCCAAGGTAACAACCCTGGGAGGGAAACGCAGGGTGTGAAATCAGGCTGAAGAGGAACATCCGAAGAAACTCAGAAGGAACAGCCAGAAAGGCACAAAGGAAGCCAGACGGGAGCAACATCACACACCTGAGGGCTGAGGCTTCCGCAGGGGCATGGCAACATCTCTTGTGCCAGGCAGCACATGGGCAGAGCAGGGCTTGCTGCATCGAGCTACACAGAGACCATCTGTGATGTTAGCAAGAACAGTGCCTTGTGGGGCTGTCTGTCATACTGTGGTGAGCTGAGGAAGCAGAGTCAGGAAGTAGAGACAATTCCTCCTTAAGCAGGGAAATGTGGCATCGGGGAGGTTTATTTCAAAACGGGACAGTGTGAACATATTTACAAGGCTTACAAAAGCTGGAAAATCTCCTACCTGATTGCTTCCATTGTCTCAAAGAAGGAAGAGGAAAGATTATTTGCTATCAAGTCAGGGGAGAGGTGGTGAGGTAGATGCTTGAAGAGAGGGACGAACAGCTAGTGTTGGGGCCAGAGACCGGGAGGGAACTGGAGACCCATCGAGGAGGGTTCTGCAGAGCCAGGAAGTTGAGGCGGGCTGTGACTCCAGCACCCATGGAGGGTCCCTACACAGTTGCCTCGCTGTCTTCGGGTAGGAATGGAGAAGACAAACCACCACGTGACTCAGATCGGGGACCTGTGGAGCCACAGCAGGAAGGGAATTCAGCTTCTAGGTCCTGAGAGTGGAGGACTGCAAGAGGAAGAGAAGGGGAGGGAAAGAACACGGTCAAACGTCTCCTTCCTCTTCCTGGGAAAGTTGGCCCTGAGTGAAGTTCTGACCCCTAGGATGTTTGTCTTTTGAGTCTTCCACTCTCCTACCTCCTAGGAACTCTCTTCCAGGGTTTTAGGATCTGCATGGACAGCAAACCCCCACCTGTACTTTGAGGACAAACAGTGTTGGGAGCCGGCCATGGAGGCCCACTGAGCATTAGGGATCAGGAAGGGCCGTTGACCCCAAGACCACTAGGATGCGTTCGGGAGCTATTGACCCCATTTCCTCCCCCTTTCTACTCAACACTAACCAGATTAAGCTCCTGTGAGCTCAAAACATAAAAACTCTGAGACCGGGATGAACACAAGCTAACTTTAGAAGCTCATCGTTCCCATTCTTCCGCAAACTGCAGTTTTGGCTTTCACACAACTTACAATTCAAACTGGGGTCACATCTAAGAGCCTTAGTATTGGTCACAGGCTTCTGGGTCATGATCTTAGGATTTACTGAAGTTGAATAAGGTGTAAATTGTAGAATATAGTTTTAGAAGACAGTCATTTTGTTGAAAGAATGCGGCTGGGTTACTTGCAGGTAGCCCACTGTGAACTTTGGACTGGGCCACATTCCAAACATTCTCTCTCTCTCTCTCTCTCTCTCTCTCTCTCTCTCTCTCTCTCTCTCTCTTCTCCCCAGTCGCTGATGCCGTCTCCACCTTTGGGGTACCCTGAACCCGGCTGGAGCTGGACTCCGGCAAAACAGGGGAGACATTTTTCAAAAGGGTACTTTTGTTTACTCAACACATCTCCAATTGGCTGAACGTTTGACAAGGTAGAAAGAAAATCTGGGGCAGGAAACAATTCAAGGGCCCTGAGAGGTGCCAAGTAGTCACCCTGGGGGAGGGGCTCCCCTTCCCCTGGGGCGCCAAAAGAGAGTTCTTTAAAGCAAAATGCAGGCATGCGATGGACCTCTTTGTGCTTTCATTAAAAAAAGGAAAATGTGTTCTCTTGGCTTGCTGAAACTTCTATGGTGAAAGATAAATGATAATCAAGCATGTTTGATTGCTTTGGGCTAATAGGCATTTAAAATGGTAAACAGCTGTGGTAATTAATATTTCAAACAACAATCAACTGGTATTTTCTGTGTAACTAGTACACCCTAAGTAACACAGGTAACAGAATGACCCTGTTTTCTTACGATTACTATTATACCTTAAGAACTTTAATTCCCACAACCTTACAATTATTGCCATTTTGCAGATGAGGACATTGAGGCACAGAGAGATTAAGTAAGCTGTGCAAGATCACATCGTTAGTAAACAGGGGAGCTTTATATCCTGGAAGTCTGACGGTGAAACTAACATTAAATATGAATTATAAAATGCATAAATACAGGAACCTGTACTGTGTTGAATACTGTGTCAAAAAATTCTTTTCCACCCGGAACTTGTAAATGTGACCTGTAAATGTAACCTTATTTAGAAATAGGTTGTCTACAGAAGTAATCAAGCTAAGACATGGTCATACTGGATTAGGGTGGGCCCTAATCAGATAAAAGGAAATTTGAACACAGATACTGATGCAGGGTGAACACCACGTGACTATGAGGAAGCAACGGAGGTATGTGTCTGTGAGTCTAGGAGCCAAGGAATGCCAAGGACCGCAACCACCAAATGCCAGAAAGAGCCAAGGACGGATCCTTCACTAGCGCTTTTGGGGAGAAATCTTCTCTAACAAGCTTCATTCATTCAGCTAATGACACTTAAAAGTTGGCAAAATTGTGACCAGTTTGGGGATTACCAAGTGCTTTAATTCTCTGTGTTATATATCTACTCAAACTCAAAGCCTTTCTCAATAACGGTTCAGGCATTCTCTTTGGAAGATACTGCAGTAAATTTTGCAACAAGATTTTTCGCCAGTTGCTGATGGCTAATTAAGAAAATAATTCATTAGATAATCCCACTGTGTTTCTAATAATTAGGCAAAAGGGTACACATTCTGGTAAACAAGGCTTTCAAATTATAAGGGCACTTCCTTCTTAAGAGACAATACATAGGATTAGTTTCATGGACTGAGGTACCATTTTTTTTCCTTGCTGTCTATCAGATACAAATCCACTTCATTATTTCTCGTCTTAGAAAGAGTGTTTCGAAAGTTTACTTGAAAGTGTGTACTTTGAGACAAGGGCCACTTTTCCTAAAGAAACCCTGCTATACTTAGTAATAGATATCACCTGCACCAGGCTATGGGCTAGACACTTTGCCAGACTTCGTTTTCATAATTATTCAACAAGATAGGTACTAAAAGCCTACGTCTCATCTTAGACTCTGGAGCCACAATGGTTTCAGATTTCAGCATTTTCTTATTTTAGAAAAAGCATACAGCACATATCATGTATATTCCGGAAGACTGCTGGTGAGGTCTGGCACAGCTCGAGCTACCAAGCAGATCGACGTCTCTCTATCAGAGCACATTAATGTTCACACCAAGAGGGATGCATGAGGGCTTTAGCCTCATGTGGGTCCAGGTAAAATTTTGCTGCCAAGTGAGTTCAGGTCAGTTCAAGTATTTTAAAGACAGGCCTTCCAGCTTTCCCATCTGTGGTAAGAGTATATGAACCTGCATGACTCTCATTTTCTAAAGGAAAAAAAAATAAGGTTAACTAGAGCAACTCACCCACCGGTGTGTAGACAGGAGGTGGGATTCAAATTCAGGTCTCTCTGGCTGCAAAGCCCTGGTCTCTGCACCACATCTGACTGCCTTAACGGGGCCAGTTCCATCCCATAATTGAGCCAAACCACAAAAATGACCGCACACTCCAGTCTGAGGCTGCTAGCACGGCCTTTCTACGGGGAAAGATCTGTGCAGCGTTTCAGTCCCGGGCACTTCCCATCTCACTCCCCAAACAAGGGAAGAACTGACCCAGCATGCGAGGTGGTGGGAAGGGGAACCCTGCCGGCTTCAGGGCTCAGGGGAGAAGCAAGCTAGGGTGGAGGCCTGGATGTGGAAAGGGGCGGTGGAAGACTGGGCTCTGGCAACCGGGAGAGTGAAGCAGGGATCTGCGGAAGATGGGAAAAGTGAGAGCAGGAGGCTGGGCTGTCCGAGAGCCAGAGCGGGTCCAGGGCTCAGGCAAGGGAGCGGGTCCGGTTCCGCTGAGAAACTGCAGCGAAAGAGGGGACCGTTTCCCTTCACGAGTGAAGAACAGCCTTAGGAGAGGGAAGCACGAGGAGCCAACGGCCGGACCAGCCTTTCCTGCTCCTGCCTTTGTATCCGGCCTCTTCACCCTTGACTGTGGCAGCGCCTCACCTTGACTTCACCAGCCCTGAAAGCCTCCAGGGTTTTACAGGCGGGCAACAGACTCCTTGAGGGAAACACGCGTGAGGTCACAGAACCACAGAGGGGTGAGGTGGGACTCGATCCCAGTCCTGAGTCCCAAAGTCCGTGTTCAAAGACCAGAAATGGGCAGGGGCCCGTGGGCGAAGAAGCAAGAAACCCGGGAGCTGTGGGTCAAGGACCAGGCATTACGGTGTCAAGGAAAACAGAGAATCTGAAGGGAAAAATGTTTCCACCAGTTAGAAGTTTCTGCAGCAACCGGGAGGTGAGAGACATAAATGAGACAGTAACAAGTTAGAGACAGCTCGTGAAGATAATGTCAGTCAACTAAAATGGTTAATGAGTCATATAAATTCAGTTACAAATAAAAGTAACCCATCATGTATGTACTTACTTCCCACAGTTCATAGAGTTCCTTTCTGAGGTCCTCTGGCAGAAGCTGGGTTATCTGCTTCATAGCTTCCTGAAATACCAAACCATTCTTTCAATTATGTTCGCATTTATCTAAGGTAACAACTAATTCACGAAAGCCAAATTAACGGGCTCAGACTCTTGCAAATAGCTCCCAAAGGAGCAAGAGAATATCCTGGCCTATGTCGGACAATATCCATAGCTTATAAGGAAGGCCGTTGGGTACATGAAACGAATACGTGTATTAATTCCTATGGGCTTCACTGAGCACTTGTGGTCTGCAACACAACAGACACGAAAAAGGACAACAGATAAGGCAATTATAGAAATGTTGGAGGTTCCAGGATTTTGTATCTTACGGGTAAATTACAACATACCCACATACATTTCAATCATCAACATACCAGATTTCAAAACAAAGCTGAGAGTGGGGAGAATGGGAAACCATGAATTACAAAGTTCAGAGAAATTTTTGTATGTTCATTTTCTATTGTTAACATGTTTTTATTGTAAAATTTATAGTACCACGTAGACAGTGATTGCGATTAACACAAAGAAAGTTCATGATAGGATTCTGTAGGCTCAGAAACTCACAGGCTATAAAGGGAAATTTAAAAGCAATTGGCCGGCCAAGTCATCCATATAGCCCCTCCACAAATATGTGCAGTAACAGGGAGCCCGGCACCCCAAGAGGCTGCCATCGTGGCTTTAGGCAGTGCTGACGGAAGAAAGTCCTTCCTTCTATCAATTGAAAGCCGCCCCTGCAGTTCTTCCACCAAGCCCAGCCCCATCCCTCTTGCTTTCCTCTCTCATCCCTAAACACACCCCACCAAGCAGGTGGACGGTGACCCCGCTGAGCCAGACTCTATGTGGCCACAGTGACTGGTCTTATAACTCAAGGAATAGTCTTATAACTCAAACCAGGCCACTCGGGGGCCATCTACATGATTTGTCCAGCAGAGACTAGGACAGAAGCCACAACACACGGCACAAGGAGAAGCCTAAGAGTTTGCTAAAACCCAAAGAAAAGCAGAGATGAAAGAATAAGAGAGTGAAAGGTATTCTGTACTTATTTCTAGTCTCAGAGGTCCCAGAAGGTGCCCTATTCCCATCTCTTTCTTCATTTCTGAGTTGCACCACGATCCTGCTAAAATATGTTTTAGGGGCAACTTTCTTACACATGGCTTCAATTTCCTTCACCACCCCCCTTCTGTACCTTTTAATCTGCCTCAATTCTTCTAGCCACAGAGGCGAGGCTCCTCGATCAGAATATGGTTGTAGGAGTTATTTCTGCCAACATAAAGGTCTTATACAAAGTAATGAGTTGGACTAAAACAAAAATGGATATTTGTGTTTATATTCACTTATTACTAGGAGGGAAAAATGCTATAGACTATAACCACTTCTAGAGCAAACCACATTTGCAAATGACAACCGTCTGCTCGTATAGGTCACATCACCCTCTTAAATGGTTTGTTCGGTGGAAGCACCATACGAGCCTTCGTAGAACAAAATTTAGTGCATGTTGTACCTGCACTCTCCCTTCTTTCTGCTTCATAAAGTTCAGCATAAATACTTGAGAAAATACCTTGCATTTCCAGAAATTAAAGGTGTCTTTATAAATAGATTGCTTTTCTCTACACTATTCCAGAAACAGGTGTGCTCATTCCTTCTGGTTGAAAAGAATGAACTGAATAACATGTATGTACACATGTCATCAAAATGTAAACTTTAGAATACAAATACAAAAGTCCCGCTTTGACAAGAGATTATTTTACTTCCTTTAAAGCGAGGCACTCAGAGCTAAATATAGTGATTTATGTGTGATCTGACCAAGGCAGAACAGAATGGAACCCGCTGCCTCCCTTGTGCTAGACACTAAGACATAATTGACTTTTTGGTGACCACACCCAATTACTTTTTTTTTTTTTGAGACAGGGTCTTGCTCTGTAGCTCAGGATGGAGTGCAGTGGCATGATCCTGGCTCACTGCAGCCTTGAACTCCTAGTCTCAGGTCATCTTCCCACCTCTGTCTCCTCAGTATCTAGAACTATGGGCACATACCACCATGCCCAGTCAATTTATATATATATATATATATTTGTGTGTGTGTGTGTGTGTGTAGAGATAAGGTCTCACTATGTTGCCCAGGCTGGTATCAACACCTGGGTTCAAGTGATCCTTCCTCTTTGGCCTCCCAGAGTGCTAGAATTACAGGCATGAACCACCACACCTGGCCCAATTATTAACTTATTAATAAGTTTCTTCTTTTCTAAAATCATGAGGCTCTTTAAAAAACACAACCACCCACTACTGGGGAGAGAAGAAGCTACTCAGTAAATGGTGCTGGGAAAACTGGCTGACCACATGCAGAAGATTGAAACAGGAGTCCTACCTATCCCCATACACAAAAATGAACTCTAAATGAATCCCAGACCTAAATGTAAAACCTCAAACTGTAAGAACCTTAGAAAATGCAGGAGACACTCTTATGAAAGTTGAAAATGGCAACCAATTCTTGACCAAAACCCAATGTGCCCAGGCCGTAAGAGATGAGAGAGACAAGTGGGACCTCATCAAACTGAGCAGCTTCTGCAAAGCCAAGGAAACCAGCAAGAGAGCAGGGAGACAGCCCACAGACTGGGAAAAAGTATTTGCCAACAGTATGTCTGACAAAGGCCTAACATCAAGGATCTGCAAGGAACTCAAATGTGCTGAAAAGAAAAAAACAAACAGCCCCATTACAAAGTGGACAAAAGATATGAATAGACACTTCTCAAAAGAAGACATACGAGCAGCCAACAGATACATGAAAAAATGTTCAGCCTCACTAGTTATCAAGGAGATGCAAATTAAAACCACACTGAGATACCACCTAACTCCAGTCAGGATGGTCATCATTAATAACTCAAAAAATAACATGCTGGAGAGGATGTAGCAAAAAGGGAACACTTCTACACTGTTGGTGGTGGTGTAAACTAGTACAGTTTCTGTGAAAAACAGTGTGGTGATTCCTAAAAGTTCTAAAAATCAACTTTCCATATAACCCCACAAGCCCCCTACTGGGAATATACCTGGAAGAAATCAAATCACTCTATAAAAAAGACCTGCACACATATGTTTATCGCAACATTGTTCACAATAGCAAGAACATGGAACCAACTGTGCTGCCCATCAAGAGAGGACTGGATTAAAAGAATGTGGTACATATCACAACGGAATATTATGTAGCTATAAAGAAGAACAAAATCATGAATTTTGCAGCAACCTGGATGGAATTAGAGCTTATAATACTGAGTGACCTCTCCCAGAAACAAAGCGCCGAGTACCACATGTTCACACTTCTAAGTGGACCTTGAACAACTACTGAATTACTGTAAGAAAAGAACTGAAGTAGTAGGAAACCGGGGAGGAGGTGGGGAGCTGGGATTGACAGGAGTGGATATCTGCCTGGGGAAGGAGGGGCACATCTCATCAATAAGGGTACTGGCACGATGAATATTTGTATACCTAATCCTGAAGTGCACCCCACAATTTTAAAATAAAAATTAAAAGAGGAAAGAAATTTTTAAAAACACAATGGACAGCAAACAAACATGTCGTTGCACTCTTCCTGAAACTGAGCGATGATTCTTCTAGATCCAATTGATGGTTGGTAATTACATGATCAGAACTGCGATTCTGGGACCTCTTAGACAGCTAATATTCTTTGTTTGGCATCAAATGCCAGAATCAGGCTCCCTTCTTAATGAACCCCCTGAAACTGACTTGGCTGACGTCCAGGGTGCGTGGCTGAGGATGCCAGGGGCCCCCTTGCTCGCATAAGCCCCGGCATTCTCACTTCCATACTGAGTTTCACCTTGCTGTTCGTCTAGATTAGAGTGACTGCTTGCCCTAGTCTCTTCCTCTGTTAGCAGAATATGTCAAAAGCCTGCCTCAAGTTTGGAGTTGAATGACGCTTTCAGCCAACACCTTGTGTCAGTTTCGCGACGAGCATCTGGAAAGCTTGCCTCCTCATACACTGCCGAGGCTGAACAGTGGAGTGGTCGACTAAAGGCGCTAGATCCAGACTGGGTTTCAAACTCAGCTTGCCAACTACCAGCCATGGGACCCAAGCGAGTTGCTTAACCTTTGTCCTTTGGGTTTCTCATCGCATATAAAATGGGGTTAAACAGTGGTACCGACCTAAGAGGACTGTGAGGGTGAAAAGGCTAATACATGTAAAGTGCTTATTGCTGGCATACAGTAAGCACTCTGTAAACATTCGCTACATTTCCCATTTTATCAGGTCTGCCAGGTTCACTTCCATGACAAAGCTCCATTCTCTTTTTCACCTCACGGATTCACATGTACCATGACTGTGCCTTCTGCTTTCATAAGGTCTTCCCTTTGCAAAGAAATATCATCGGCCATTGCTATATTCTATCTTCATTCCCACCAGATCCTGACGGTCCTTATCAAGCCTCATTTATCAGCTTGGTCATAACATGAAGTTTACGTTATCATGTTAAGGCAGGGCGCCAGACTACAAGTCCTGCTTTGGGCCTTTTTCTTCTATGCCTCCACCCTCCCGTCCGTCTCAATATCTACCCTTCTCCAGGTTTATCAAGGGCAGTCAGTCCTCCACGTCAGTGGCTTCCACAACTGTGGGTTCAACCAACAGACTGAAAATACTAAAAAAAAAAAAACAAAAAAAACCTCCATAAAAAGATACAAATAAAATAAAAAACAATACAGTAGGACAACTATCTAAATCACATTCGCGTTGTATTGGGTGTTACAAGGAATATAGAAATGACAGAATGTGTGTAGGTTATATGCAAATACTACACCATTTCATACAAGGGATTTAGGCACCAGATTTTGGTGTCTGTGAAGGTCCTGGAACACGGAGAGACGACCGTATTTTTCCTCCCTCCTACTTCAGTTTAAAGCTGTGCTGATCCAGTCAGCAAGGGCAAATGAGGTTTTCTGGTTCTCATTATGGAAGCTTTGCCGAGAGCCAAGAAGCCCCGTCTAATTAGCCTAATGCATGGTTCAGACATCCAAATCTTGTCCATAAACACCATCCGCATAAAGAATTGTTCACCTCCCCAATTTACTTCTCTGTTTCCAAATCCTAACCAGCAGCAGGAAGAGGCAAAAGAATACGAGTGCAAAGCCTTCGGTTTCTTGTCCAAGAAATGGTGGTTCTTTAAGATGCCACCCGTTCCCTCGTGCTGATAATGTTTGTTCCCCTGTGATCAGCTGGAGTGGGCAGCCGTCAGGAGGTTGCACCAAGTTGGAAAGGCTCCTTGTCGAGGCAGGACACAGCATCCTAGAAGGCAGCAGCAGCCTCTCGACTGCTCAGGCCCCGCTCTGCCGATCCACGCGACATCCCTAGCCAGCCTCAGCCTTGTCGGGCAGTGCTGGCTTTCTTCGCCTCCAACAGTTGGAGATGACCCTGGCATACTCCATCCAGAAGGTTCTAACTTGCCCCTCTGTGGAGCAAACCCCAAATTCCCTATGTGCTTCCAGAGGGATGATGTGTCTTTTCCTCTTCTGCTGTGTCCCGTTTCTCCAAGCCTTTTCTTCTTCTTTTTTTTTGAGTCGGAGTCTCAATTCGTAACCCAGGCTAGAGAGCAGTGGCACACCCGCAGCCACCCCAGCGTCGACCTGCTGAGCTCCAGCGATCCTTCCACCACAGCCTGCCAAATAGCCGGAACTACAGGTGTGCGCTACCACGTCCGGCTGATTTTTTGATTTATTGTAGAGATGTAGTCTTGTCAAGTTGCCCAGGCGGGTCTCACACCTGTGGGCTCATGCAGTCTCCTCACTTCTGCCTCTCAGAGTGCTGGGATTACAGGCTGAGCCACCGCGCCAAGCCTTTTCTTCATTTTAAGGTCTTTGATGGCCCTCTGGTACTTTGGCACATGATTTCTCTCCACAATGTCCAGATTTACCCTTGAATAAACGATCACACATCCTGCAATAAGTCATATAACTGAGAAATCTGTCCTCCCTTTCCCTCCATGTTATATTTCATTACTCACATCCTCTGGTGGCGATTCTTTTTTGCAACTCAGAATCTTGAGATAACTGGTTTCTTTTTGTATTAATTCTGCCAATCAATCGAAGAATTATTTATTCATGGCTGAGATTCATGTAATTCGGTAATCCCAAATCCACGAGGACTTGCACATAATGTTTACCTGTTCCAACGTCACCCCGAGGTCCAGCAGGGAAAGATGCTGGTTTTTTAAAACTTACGGGAAGCAAGTCGTGAAGAATCCATGCCTTGAGACAAGCTGTTTTATAATCAAAGCAGTCGATCTAACTACTTGCTTTCCTACACGGTGCTTACAATTACATTGATTAAGAGTGTTGGCTACACAGATTTCAGCTTTAGTCACCTGCATCCAATGACTCCTCACTGAAAACACATACCGTTCAGAGACCAGCTGTGGCCAGAGGCCACTCCTGAGGGAAGGGGCAGGAAGAAACCAGGTATAGGGGAAAACAGTCCACATTCAGACAATACCCCACAATTCAGAGAGAACTGAGTACCACATGTTTTCATTCATAAGCAGACCTTGTGCAGTTATCATACCACTATAAGAAAGGGATGGCTAGTAGTGGGAAACTGCCTGGGGAAGCAGGGGATGAGACTGGCAGCTGAGGGAAACTGCCAGGGGAGGGAGGGGCACACCTCATCCACAAGGTGACCTGCAGAATGAACATTTGTAGACTTAACCCCGAAATGTACCCCACCTCTTTAAAATAAAAATTTTTTTTAAAAGAGAGAAACATCTTCTTAGCTTCCTTAGCCCTTGTCGTGTCGTGGTCAGCCTGTGCTTGGGACCTGTCCTCTGGCAGGAAAAGATCACATTCCTCACACCGTTTTCCTGGTGCCTGGAACTCTTAAACTGGGACCCTCACTCCTTGTGACTCTCCTTCCCTCTGGAGGGGCAGAACTCTCATTGGCTACTGAGCTCTAGGCTCCCCCACTTCTAAGAACCACCATTCATTTTATTTATTTGTTTATTTTAAAGCCGGGGTCTCATTGTCACCCAGGCCGGCGGGCAGTGGCATGATCATGGCTCGCTGCAGCCTCAACCTCCTGGGATCAGGCATCTTTCTCAGCCTCCCAAGAAGCTGAGACTAGAGGTATGCACCACCATACCCAGCTAATTTTTAAAATTTTTGGTAGAGATGAGTTCTCACTCTGTTGCCTAGGCTGGTCTCGAACTCCTGGGCTCAAGCCATCCTCCCACCTTGGTGTTTCAAAGTGTTGGGATTACAGGTATGAGCCACCGCACCTGGCCAGAAGAGCCATTTAAACCCACCTGACCTGCTAAATCATTTCAATAAAGACGCCCTCTACTCAGTAATTTAAGACCGATCCCTCATAGGCCTACAGTAAAAGCAGCTCGTAGGAACCAGCCATTCAGCATCCAAAAGTCTCCCTAGACCTTCCAGCCTCTGTTTCAAACATGTCTTCCTCCTTGGCCCCAGGGACTGGGTTTAGAATCCAAAAGGACACTGATTGAATATTTCACAGATGTCGTTCATTTCTTTCTAATACAAACATTTTCTTTACTTTCAACCACTAAAGACTAACTTAAAATTTATCAACTAATAAATATAATAATGATTATACTGTAATATATAGCACTTCTCTCAAAAGAGTTTAACATGGAGAAGTCCCACAAATTTACTTAAGTGCAACTATTTCCATCATTCTATTGAAAGTCATGCTGTCTATATCCACATAGTATTGAGACCTGAAACGAACATAATTTTCTGTCCCTGTGTCAACAAGGCTGGGAGCAGGCATGTATTCTTGTGTTAAACATGGCCAAGACACGCAAAAAACCAATTCACAGCTTATTCCAGGAAATCCCTGCTTCTGGAAAATAAGACTGTAAACCACTAAAACAGAACAAGCACTGCCAGCTTACTCTTCAAAACTTTTAAGACCTTCACTATTTCCACCAGCCCTAAGATATTATGTTCTGAACTATACAATCCCAGCCAGTTGTCTATCTTACCAGATACATCTTAACACCCTTCAACCCAGGCCCTTAAACTCTAGAAACATCCTTCCCTGAATTTCCCCTTCCTGAGACCCTGTGAAGCCTGTCAAGAAGGCGTCTCCCTTGCTGCAACAGGTCTAATAAACTTAGCTTTTGCTTCAGCAACAGGTTTTTCTGGCGGTCTTCCGCAGTCAACAGTTAACACTGACCTCTTCTCGTCTATGTTTCTCTTCTTTGGGAATGTTATCTGCTGGTGCTATGTCTCCAACGATGCACTCTGCCATATCGTGAACCAGGGCTAGGCGTACGCATCTGACCAGGCAAGAAATATTGAGTAATTACACAGGATTCCATTCACAAGTCCCTTCTCTAGACTATTTTGAAATTACATAATATATTTTTCTTCCTCTACCCTTACAGAATATTTTGATGCAGGGTTTTCTGAAGTAATTATATTCTGCCAGCCTACAACAGTTCTGAATCAAACCTGCCGGTTTATATCCAACAAAATACATACGAGCAGAGGAAATCGTTAGCATGCATTGTTTTTTTAATAAGATAGCTAGTTTCTCAAACCTCACTTTAAAAGGCTGATAACTTCAGATTATAAAACCATGACATGAATCTGGTCATAGCATTTACTTACAATACTTAGATACAATACTTAGAAACAACTATTCTACCCCATTGTACCTGTCAGATGCCAAAATGGGGCCATCGGCAGAGTCACAGGTGGGTTGGACAGATGTGGGTTTGAATCTAGCAATCAGTACTTATTAGCTGTGTGACCTTCGTCAAGTTACTTAATTTCCTTAACTGTTCAATGTTGTCACCCTTTATAATCTTGTAAAAAAGGGATAATACTTCAAAAGGATGGCATGAAAATTAATTTTTTTTTTCGAGTTGGAGTCTCACTCTGTCGCCCAGACTGGAGTGCAGTGGCCGCTCCCGGCCACCGCAGCCTCAACCTCCTGGGCTCTGGCGATCCTTCCGCCTCAACTTTCTAAGCAGTTGGAACTACAGGCGTGCGCCATCACACCTGGCTAATTTTTTTATTTATTGTAGAGATGAGGTCTCACCAAGTTGCCCAGGCGGGTCTCGAACCCACAGGCTCAGGCAATCCACTCACCTCAGCCTTCCGAGGCGCGGGATTACAGGCTGAGCCACCGAGCCCGGCGAAAATTAAATTTGATGATGCATTTTCCTGGCTCAGGTTGACCATTCAGCAAACAGTTATGATTATAACCAGCATCATCAAAATAATGAGGTCCAGTCATCAGACAAAAGCCGAAGAGGGCCAGCGTGTTTTACGTTCCTGCTGCCAAGCACAAGGCTTCCTCTTAGATTTCCTTGTCTCGGTTTCCTGCTCATTTAGTTCAAATCTCAGCCTACACCTAATTTCATCTCTACTGGATCTCACTTTCTTCTTACACCATTTGCCCCAAACCTCCTCAGTCCTGCACCATCTCCTGAATCACGGGACTCCTCAGACTCCCTGATTGACCCCTTACCGCAGTCACGTGGATTCCCTTCTCATTCCCAAAACACTCTGTACCGTCCTACTCACAGCTTGGGTTTCTCAGCCCTACTCTCTGCCTTCCCCTACCTCTCTCCCTAAGTCAGCTCACACTCTGCTTCCTCCAGTAACATCAACCATGAACAGGTGACCTCCCTGACCGCTTGAACACTGTTCATTTTCGACCATTTTGTGCATTTATAGAAGCCACGATGGGCCTATGTAATTCATTTGGGATTTATTTACTGTCTCATATTGCTAGTAAACTTTGTGCTGTGCTCAACAGCATCTTAAACACTTGTTGATTAACTGAAGGGGGAGAGGATAGGTCTTTCTCAGCTGTATCTTGTGCACGGAACTCCAAAAAGTCACCTCACGAATGAATGCTGCTATTCATTAAAGGGGCTAGCGATAAGCACATAGTGTGCTTCGACCACAATGGGACTGTGGCCATAACACACTCACCTTCAAGGCCCTGAGATCACACTTACATTTCCTCTGAGGCCAAGGCAGGGCAACAGAAAACCCAGAAGGTCATTTACAACAGCCGAAGCAAATCAACAGCGTTTTCCCACATCCTAAATCTGTACGGTTTGCCTCAAATAATTTTTCTCGACCTATCAACTAACCCACAAGAATTCAACACAGGCCTCAGTCGTGAAAAGTGGTGCATGCCACACCCACAGACCAGAACTCCTCACAAGTAACAAAGTGCACCTCAGCTTACCGGTCTTTGTTGAGATGGTCATCTTTGGTCACCATTGCCATAACTGCCATCCGGTACATGTGATCGGACACACTCTCTGGCCCCTTGACATTTCTGTACACCCAGCCAGTCCGTGGGACTCTCTGAGAAATATGAAGAAGTAGAAAAAACAAATATTTTACCTGCTATGCTCTTCAAGAGATGTGCAGGGAACAGCACCCAGGAGCAGAGTCACAGTTTCAAAGCCGGATTAAAATGTTTTACTAAATTAAATAAAATGATCGCCATCAGAACCAAACCGAGAGCTCAGAGAATGAAAGGGAGAGGGGGAGAGAGAAAAGTCAGGAGCAAAAGGCCAGCAGTCACGTTCCTCTGTTACTGGTGTATAATTACGGAAAACATACAAGTCCTTTAGACAACAAAAGGAAAATTATGTTTTTCCCAAGTAAAAAGAGTGTGGCTTTTTGCCTTCAAACAATCCTACCCTCCACAAGCAGCAAACACCCACGAAGGCTCTGAACTTGGACAAGGGATCGCCTTCCAAATTCTGAACCCAGAGGAAGAAAAGCATCTCTAATGGCTTGATGCCATCACCAGTCAAGGCTCCTCCTTTTATTCGGATCTTGACTTCTTCCTTTGAAGCTCCTAATTCCACGTTTCTAACTAAGCCCCCAGGCAGTCCTCCGACTGGCGCGACCTTTGAACTTGGGGAAATTCTGAAAAATCACTAACTGAAAACGGGGAGGGGGGAGACGCACGCGACGAAAGCCCAGTGTGTGCTGCACACACTTAGGGCGTCCTGTTCTTTCTGGAAGCCACCGGGACTGAGTCCGAGCACCCCACGCGAGCCGGCGGGGCCGGGGGATTCCGTGCTCCCCACCGGCTGCTCAGACCTCATCGTTTGGGGGGTCGGGGGCCCCGAGCGGGCTCAGTCCCGACCGGGCCAGGCCGGCGGCTCCCGGGAGGCCTCCAGGCCCGGCCTCGGGCCCCGGCCGGGGCCC